TTCTTGTCAAAGTTACCATGATCATCATCATTAGATTCTCTTTTTTTTTTTTTTTTTTCCCCATTTCATGAATTGCTTTGTTTGGCTCGTGTAAAGGAAAAATACAAAGCAGGAGCCCTGGGATAGATGTGAAGACTAAGCATAGTAAGTCTAAGACAGTCTTGATCTTCTCAAGGCTATTCCAAAAGTGCAGCGTCCCAGGGAAGCCAGGGAAAAGGCTAAGGAAGAATTTGGACTTTATGATCTTTAATGTTTTTTTCTAACCTGAGCAATTCTGTGATTTTAATATTATTAAAAAAAAAGAGAAAAATAGAATAATATTACTAAAAAATGTATTATAAAAAAACAGCCACCATGGTTTGAATTTCCTAAATGAAAAAACTCTGTCTTTGGAAAAAAATGAAGAGTAAGTTATTAGCATGGTCTGCAGAGTAAGAAAGTATGGACTTGAGACACTTCTGAAGTGTTACATGGAAAATTAAGTATAGTTTTGTAGGAAATATTTTTATCAAATTTATACAAGGGTCCAACGCACACAAATTTTTGCACATCACAACAACTTCTCACTTCAGTCTCCCTTCATATTCTTAACTATAGGAAGTTAATGATCTTTGAGTCTTAAAATTTAGAACAAGAATAGTTCATTCAATTCTTTCCAGAAGAAAAGTTCAACTTTCAGTTCCTGAAAAGACAAGTGACACACACTTATTTTCAGAACCTGAAATGTTTATAATTGAAGTAAATACTTACAAGTGGCAAGAAAATCCAAACACTTCTCAGATACACACAGAAAGGAGCAACCACACTGCCTACACGGCACATCATGCTCCCACTTCCAACAGCAAGCGATCTGTAAATTAAACAAATATTTTGATAAGAATTCTAGCAAATAAAGCAGACAATTGGAAATTGTAACACCCATTGGATGAGTTGATATTATACTAGAAAGCTACTGCCTCAACAATATAAATTTATGCTTTAGTGAAATTCAGCCACTTATGAAATGAAGACTTAAAATAAGATTAGCATTCAGCATGCACTACAGCACGAAGAACTGGGGCTATTAAGAGACTCATATGTAACATACAGGAAAGCACTGGGTATTCTTTTAGCTCCTCAATGAAACCAATCAGTGGCCAAGGAAATGAAAAATTAATAAAATTTTACTGTACAGCCAAATACTAGGCAACTCTTAGCAGCAGGGATACTCATCTTTTCCTGTCTTTTAAACCAATGTTGCTAACAACAGCATAAAAAAGAAAAGGAAATAACAACAAAACAATGAAAAATACCTTCCAGCAAAAATTCTTACCTTACAATTGTTGGATACAGTTCTGCTGTGTAGAGGTATATAAGGCCAAATGCCACACCTATTGAAAATTTTCCAGCCATGTTTGCCAAGATAATTAACACATTAAAGTCCTATTGAAAGAGATCACAGATAAATAAATTACCAGAAAACATCACTGTTCCAAACCTAAATTAAATCCATGACTCTTCTTTAAACACAAAGCAATATTTATTACTCGTTTTTTCTTTAAGGCAAGTAAAGTGTCCACACAACTTTTTACCAGTCCTGGTTCTCTGAAGCCCTGGGAACATTTTACATCTGACTCCAGCAAGAGTACTGTGAAGTCTGTACTGAAAATACAGAAATCTATCCTTGACTGGCAGCTGCATTTTAAAAGCATATGATTTGGAAAGAACAGCTGCCTCTACAGACTTCAGGATCAATAAAATAAGTGTCTACTGAAGGAACACTTTCAACAATATATGACTAACCTGAGGTATGAACATAATTAAAACACAGATCAGTGCACTTAAAATAAGGAACGGAATGAGTGTGTTTCTCCTTCCCAGTTTGTCCATCCCAATGCAAGCAATGATATAGCAAGGCAATTCCACAGCACCTGTCAGTATGAAATTATTTCATTTTAAGTCATGATTACACATATTCATCTTATAACTCTAGCTTCCACTTTATGGGGATTCATTTAATCTAGAAAGTTAGCTTGATTGTACACGTCACGAATATGTGAAATCTAGAGACAACTGTTGCATTAGGCTCATTCATCTGGTCACAGAAACAGCAACAGATGATGGAAAACATGGCCTAAGATATGACAGTGGGGGATGAAGGAGGACAAGTGGAACAGGTTTTACAGACAGAGCAGTTCCTAGTCTCTTTGGGATGGAAAATTACAGAAAACAGCAAGGCTTGCATTAAAGAGAAGGCAGCTGCTTACAATAACCCACTTGGGTAGATTTTCTCTTCCTAACGTCTCTTTCCAGAAAACTTAATGCAGCCAAATGGGACCAGTATTTGGCAAGAACTGTTCACAAACTCTGTTTAAGCATGGTATGCCCCCAGATAAATCATACTGACCCTAAGCCATTCTGGACATGTTTTAAGCCATTTTGCTCATAAAGAATCTTGCTACGTCCAGGGTAACGTCAGGGAAGAACATAAGAACAAATATGCTGCGTTTCTCTACTGAGTATATGTGCTATGTTGATGCACCTGTAACACTGGAAAACAAATGCTGGGGTTTGTATTGGTAAAAGCAGGCTGCAGCCAGTCACACTACATCAGTCTGCTTGAATATTTTTGGAAGAGGTGGGCACAGTGAGTTACTTACTGCTCTCCATCATTAGCACTCACTCTTCACCGTGCCAGCCTCTCAATACACTACAGTATGTGACAACTCAAGCTCAACTCATGAGAGTTACAGTCCTTCTGTGTGCTGATGTACATGGACAGGCACACACCTAACCGAAAGCACTGGGTCACATAAAACAAAGCACGTAATTTATTCCCCTGCTGTCTCAGAGCTGTCTGCCCAACCTGAAGTCTTCTGAAGTCAATGGAGTATTTCCACTGATTTTTACAAACTTTAGGTCAGGCCTTGAATGCACTTCACAAACAACTTGTATACCGCAGGAATATTACAGTCAGATCAATTAAAGGAATAGCATGACTAAAAATACGTTTTTGGGAAAAATAAAATTATTCCTGCTTCTAAGAATTGTGAATCTATTTTCTGTACAGACCGACTCAGCACACTATGACTGCACGTGACCATAGCCTTAACTTATTCTATGTTCTCCTGGTTTGTGCTTTTAACAGAATGATATATGCACTTCGTGTTGCAGGTCTGCTGCCATTAGGTTTTGCGTGGATCTGCCAGATGCTTGCAGGATGAAGAGGAGAAAATTAGAATGTGGTTTTACAATCACAAAGACAAAAAGAGAAGAATTTTGTACACCAAGAAATTCTCAGTTCTTTTCTTTTGAGAAACAGTAAGATTTCCTCCTGTATTAATCAGCTTTATGACCAATTAACAAGAAAATTTTGGAACAAGGTTCATAGTTGGATGAATAAAGTTAAAAAAAACTGGCTGTCTAATCTCCAGACATTTCTGAATGTAATGCTCTAGTTCTGTCAGCAAAATAATAAAGTACAAAAACTATTTACCTATGAGAAACAGATTTAAATATTCATTGCCTCCTAGATTGACAGAACTCAGGGAGAAGACGTAGTACCCCAGGCTCCCAGTGAACCAGACCAGCCAGATCGTGATGGTCCTTCTTGCAATGTACCAATTACAAAACAGATCTAGGATGTTGTGCTTCTTGGTTGTGGATGCACCATTGCCACTTGTTCTGTCAGTGCCTGGGTCATCTTGTTGGACTGAGCACAGTTCAGACACTTTGCAGGAAGTGCTTACTTTGTTCCACCTTGCCATTATATTGATTACTTTTTGTGCATCTTCATATCTTTTCTCTGACAGGAGCCACAAAGGTGTTTCTGGAAGCATCCAGCAGCACAAGACAAAGGGAAGAGTTGCTATGGAGAGAAATATCTGATACACCCACCAGGTCCGAACCAAAAATCCCACGAGTGCCACAACCATAATTCCCAAAGCAAAAAAAGCATGGACATGCATAGAAGCCCAGGTTCGTGCTTTAATGCCAACAAATTCAGTCACATAAACAAAAGCCACAACCAGATAGCCACTTGAAACCTGGGGAATGGAGAAAGAGAAAGAAAAACAGTGTGAGGTTTATGTCTACTTTCCTTGTGCAACAGGTAACTGCATTCCTCATTCAAGTACATTTAACTGGCACTGCGCTGACCTGTAACTCAGCAACAGAAAAAAAGGCAAGCCTGAAAACAAATCAGTTGGACAAAAAAACCTCACTCAAACTTTCAGAATACCTGGGAACTGTGTTTAAAGACATGAAGTGCTGTTGGATGCTTCCCTTTAGCGTGCAGGGCCAGCAAGAGACACCTGAGAAAGTGCCTCACTAGCTGTCATCACTTCACCTCCAAAAATCAAATCCTTAATGACATCATGAACTGGGCACTCAGGAAAATAAAGTCTCCCAAAGTAACTGCCACTTTTGAAAATCTCAACTTTGGCTTTTAAGACGACTATTACTAAACTGCACGTCACAGAACAGCAAATTTACTGAGAATTACCTCTCATACTCCTGTAAACAGTCATTAAATCAAATTTTTACAATGTTGGAAGAGAAGCACATTTACAGAGTTACAGGTTCTTATACAGATCTAGCCATACTAATAGAACAGAATTACTGACATTCTTCATTGAAGGATTTTTTCTTTGAATTTGTATGTTTATATATATCTTACACGTATTTCAATTTTGCTAGTAACATTCTAAACTCTTGTTAACTTAAAACATTTCAGAACACAGCTAAAAGTTCTAGGCTAGAAAATATTCCAGTATATTATTTTGATTAGTCAAATAAAAAAAAAAATAATCAATTTTCTGGTTACAAATCTTCCACTTAATAAACCCTTGTCTGTGAAACCACTGAAGCTGACAGGAAAGCTGCACTGATCTTAGTGGTGAAGGATTACAGTTTCACATCTCCTTCTCTCAAATCTATTCCCAATGGGCAGTTAAAACCTATGGCATCTGTTTGGTCAGAGCTTTTTGCTTTTACAGATTACCACAGCCCCTAGCATCAACACCAGGGAAGTGAATCCTGGTGGTATCACTGTTCAAGGCTGAAATCCCCATGCAGTTTTCTTGCTGTGAAACCCTTCTGTGCTGTAATAAGACAAAAGCAGGTCCAGCTACAATGTCCTCACTTGACTGCCCACAGGAATACATTAAATTATGCGATTAATTTCAAATTTCCAACCTCCTTTAAGTAGCTTATATCATTTTTCTTCTGACAGCTTTCTAATGTCTTGATGCATTATATAATGAAAGACTATAAATATACTTTTGGATGTAAAAATCAGTTACCATTATACCTTATATAGATATATAGATATCTATGTATGTATAGATATACTTAGACACACAAACTGGAACACCCTTAAGTACAGTATAAACACCTAAGTGCTAAACATGTCTACCTGTTTATTTAGTATTTCAGATGTAGTTTAAAAGACCAAAGAGATGCATAGAAGAGAAAAAGTGCATCTCTCCTCCATCAATGCAAATGGCAGAGATAAAAATCATACTTATTATAGATTTGTTATTTTAAGAAATATATACTCCATTTGTAACAGCAAGGAGAAATGCAATGCCAGTTGCAATGTAAAAACCAGAGTTCACTGCTCACACTTGGTATTTAATTACCAGTCCAGCAGAGGTTGGGATGGAGGAGGTACCAAACACTGCTTCACACAGATGCTTTCTATTAATTCAAAGAGGAAAAGTGCTGTGGTCCAAGAACATTCAGACTCTCCCTGCTCTGCTGAAATAAGTGCAACAGATGGGGCTTTAGAATAATGAAGTAGAAGAGGAAATAAGAAAAAAAAGGGGTTTTCCTGAGAAGGGGAAGGAAAAGACACATAAAAGAGCCAGTGAGCTCCTTTCTTACCATAGCAAGGAGAAAGCGGACAATCACGAAGCTGTAGTAGTCAAACGTGAATGCCACTGTGATGCCAAATACAAACTGACCAGCACTTGTGAACCACATAACGCGCTGTCTTCCCAGTCTGCAAAGCACAGCAGCAATAACATGATGAGCAACCATAAACATTCCGTCAGAATAAAACTGCAACTTCAGAGAGCCTGTCTGAAAACGAGTCTGAAAATACTGTCCTAAGGCTCTCACTCACCAAAAAAAACTCTGCATTACTTCCCTGTATTTTCCTTGCCATATGAGAAAGAAAAATTTCTATTTCTTTTTAATAGTTCCAACTAAACTCAAGGAAAATGGAAACTCCTAGAGTTCTTGCCAGAAGTAAGCTTTACAGGTGACACTATATTGCTCACATAACAGTGTCAAAGTTAACTGCTCCATAACTAATCTGCAGATTTACTCTGTCTTATTTATGAAGTCAGCACATAAGATTTGCTTTTTTCAGATATTCATTTGCAAACAACACCACCTTACAGCTCTTTCCAGCACCCTCCCATCTTTCACCATCCCTGACCAGGAAGATGTGTGAGGAAGGAGTCATTACACACATCTGGTTTCTGACCCCTGCCAGAAGAGATCCCAGTGAGTCCCAGCTGGCTCTTCTGTTGGGAAATCTGTTAATTGGGAATGGGAGGAACCCACAAACTTATTTCTCACCAGCCAGAATGTGTCAGAAAATAATAACTTTCAGCTGTAAAATCCATGGTTGTAAATCTGCAACTCAGGATGTGTTTATTATCTCAACTGACTGTTCATGGCTTAAATTAATTAAAATGAGAACAATATGAACTTAACTTCATAAATCATGTCTGGGTATTAATTAATAAAGCAATGAATTATTTAAGGGACACAGAACAAATGTTGGTATTATATTCTGGTTTTGTATTAAATGAGGTTTTACAAAGCCTTGAATTGAGAGGAAGGATTGATTCCATGTGTTCCAGAAGACAAACTAAAGGAAGATCATCTTTGCTTTTGCATTCCCACATTACCACACCAAAATGCTGTGCTAATGAAGGAAAACCAGAGAACAACGTGCTTGGCCTCCTTTTCCTCCTCATAGCATTTGCTGTGGAACATATCTTCACCCTCCACCTAACAAACAAGCTCCTCTAGAGAAAGAGATGCATAACACTAAAGGAGTCTTCAATTCAAAATACAAGTATATAAACTGTCCAGGACAGTACAGTGTAGCTTAGGAAACTGAATGTCATATGAAGAGACAGGCACAGCTAGGCGTCCTGGATCTCACTTCTGAGACTGTCTGTGAAGCTGGCTCTCAGTGCACAATCTCAGAAAACAGCAGGGGAGGCAGAATCATAGGGGCTAAATGAAGGACAGCCTTGGCACAGCAATCACAGGAAGGCTCTGGCAGGGGCCTTGAGCTGGCTTTGGTTTTCCTTTGGTTCAGACAGAACTCTGGTCATGCTGGTAAGTAGGTGGAACCACAGCAAAGCACAGCAGTGACCCTTTTTCCTTCTGTCTGGACTAACCTTCAGGAGGCAGAAGTTTAATCTCACCTTTCAAGCAAAAATTGCAATCAGGCAGCAAGGAAAAAAAAAGGGGCTTGCTCAATTCCTCAAAGCCTTTGCATTAGTCCCAGACAGCTGTATTTGTGACAAAGGTCAGGTCATTTTTTTTTTTTCTTCAAAATACATGGGTTTTAATCCTCCTGTAGTCCTCAAGCAGTTTAGCATATTCAGAAAGAAACATATGCTATCATGAGGAATCCCTCCTCATGGAAAACAAGAACACTTACTCCCAGGTTTTACTCTTGATATTTCTACTATTCCTCTAAAAAAAAAAAGGTCTTTGGACAAAATGCTAGCTGCACAGTGCAATTTGAGGGATCAAGCCTAGAACAATGGATAACAAAGTAGGAAATAAATTCCAAAAGCAAATGATTAGCAAAGACACTGAAAAATTACTACTTGCTATATGAACAAGAAACTGAGTTTCTTTTTCTGAATAAACAACATTGAAACCTGACTTGGTACACAATGAATGAAAACAACAAAACAGATACACAAGCACAGAGTTACTGCAGTCTGAATGTACAATGCTCAGAGGATGACACTTTACCTGTCAGCAATGTCACCAAAAATCACCGCTCCAATCAAGACTCCAAGCATGAATGTAGGCTGGATTAATTTTGCCAGCCATTCTCGGTCACAGACCAGATCCCACTGTGTAACAACAGTGCTCTTCCATTTTGTATCATCATAAAGAAATCCATCAGAACAAGAAAATATGGACTTGTTGCCTTTATATTCATATGCTAGGTCAAAACTGACTTCTCGTTTGGACTTGCTGCATTGATTAAGTTCCCAGATTTCTCCATTTTCCAGCTGGGCTACAATGTAATTTTCTGTTGATGTCCACATTGTCCAGATGTCCTCTAGACTTGCTTTAGAGGAGTTGTAGAAGAGAACGCTACTCACATTTCCAGGGATCCCACATACAAAGTTAGGAGTAACAGCCATGAACACAGACGCTAAGTAATGGATGCCACATGACATAGCTTGAAAGACAGATGCAAAATACACACATGCTTGAAATCTGCAAAGGGAAGTAAAAAAGGTTTACTGAAGGAAAGCTTTTTATAGACACAAAACCATCAACACAATTATTTTGCTAGGATCAGTCCAGTGATTGTGGCAAAGTTGTACACGGAAGCATTATCCAGAGGTTTGTCATGTAGCGTGGCTTCAAAATAAGCTAGGCCTTGCAAGAAACCAATGATAAGAAAAGATGCACAGCAGAAGCAATCTGTCCTCCAGAAATACCAGGTATCTCTTTTGTCAAAAAATCAATACTGCTCTTAGCTGTGTGTATGACTGCGCAGAGAAGACCATTTAAAAAGAATCAATTCTGAGCTTCAGTGTGAAGTTGGAAGTAACCTCCCAGCTCCAGCCCCATCGCATCGAAATCTCTGAAAAGACAACCTGAGGTTACAAGAACAATCAGAGAAACCAGAACGTTGCAATGTCAGCTTCTCAGGGATAGAGATACGCACGTCAAATAAAACAAAGCAAACACATTATGCCCTTCATTTCTCTTAATTGTATCAATTTACCTCTACTCCATCTATCTTCCACCTTGCTTTGTCATCTCAGAAAGACAAAGAGATAATACACATGGACATGTAGAGGAAGAATCTGAAGGGTGAAATGCTTTGTAACAAAACATAGCTGTAAATCTGGGGGGTTCTGGCTTAAACAGTGTGCAGTTATGTATTAAAGATGGTATCATAAAACAAACATAGTAAAAGAATGTTTTATGTATAGCCTGAAGTTTGGCATTTTAACAGCTTTTAAAATATGCTTGAGATGCAAGCAAGTCTCTGTGTATAAAATGCACACATTCTGAATGTCAAAAGACTTGCAGTAAACTCTACTATCACTCACTGCAAATTCTAGGAGATTCTCATAGTCTAAGCATAAGGAATCTCTTCCTCTAATAACTATTAAAATTATGCACAGAATTAGTAAAACATTCTGCTCAGGGAAAACAAAACAAAACGTTACAGCTTTCGTTTCTCCTTTCATTTTTTTATTTACTGGAAATCAAACAGTTGCACAAGTTTGAAGAAGCACTGGGTGAGTTTCTACATATACATCCTTAATGCAGCATGTGCCGGACCTGGATAGCAAGAAACAAAAAAGAGCCTTCTAAAACATGAAGAGAGGCCACCTCTGCTGAAGTTATGCCTAAAAAACAACTGCCTTGAAATGTCATGTGCCTGTAACAAACGCAAATTCCAGATCACCCCTTACTAACGTGAATGCAATCTAGCCTTGAATTCTTCTGATAAGGTTTACAACACAACCTAGCCTAGGACTTTTAATCATCCATCATCACAATTTCTAATGAATTTCTAAACAATGAAGAGCCAAAGTATTTAAATACATTTTGCTGGGTACAGTGTTCAATTAATCTTTACAATGGAAAAGTTCTGTTGTGTAGTCTAACTCCTCTCACCATCCCCATCTCTCAGAATCACTAGATGGCTGAGTCTGACAGGGACCTCTGGGTCCATCCAGCACAACCCCTGTTCCAGCAGGGACACCCAGAGCAGATTTGTCAAAGGCAGGCTTTTGAAGATCTCCAAGGAGAAGACTCCACAGCCTCTTTGGGAAGCTCTGTCACCCACACAGCACAGCAGTGCTGCCTGCTGTTCAGACAGAACCTCCTGTGTTCCAGTTTGTGCCCATTGCCTCTGGTGCTGGCACTGGACACTACTGAAAAGAGCACAGTTCTGCCTTCTTTGTACTGTCCCCTCAGGTATTTGTATGCATTAATGAAACCCCCCTGAGCCTTCTCTTCTCCAGACTGAGAAGACCCAGCTCTTTTAGCCTCTCCTCTCAGGAAAGGTGCTCCAGCCTCTTCATCATGTTGCTGGCCCTCCACTGGACATTTTCCAATCCAGGCCTCTCTTGTATTGGGGGACTCAGAATTGAACACAGTGCTCCAGGTGCAGCCTCACTGATATTGAGCAGAGAGACAAGAGTACCTCTCTCTCTGCTGGCCATTCTTTGCCTAATGCAGCCAAGAATACCATTAGCCTTCTTAGCAGCAAGGACCTTCTTAAACCAAGGACGATCTCCTCTGTCTTTAGTCTGATCCTTAATCCTTTATTTGGTAAATGTAAACCAACTTGCCATTCCTGTCTTTCCAATGGCATTGTTGCTGTTCGGAAGCAGTACTTTTTAATCACTCCTTGTCTTGACAATAGCTCTACTGATTTTTCCACAGCAGTCTGAGGAGAGGACCGGATGGCTAAGCTAACAATGGCAGTTCAATAAGCTGGGCTCCACTTCTCTCTTGAAGACTCTCACAAATGTTGTGCTCTTTTCCATCAGACAGTGCTGGAACACAGCAACCCTTAAATCTATCAATCCTCTGTCAAAACAGCTTCTGGAGAACTAAGTAGCTAGCCATAAGCAAGAGTGAAACTGCTCTGAAAGGCTTTTGAACCATCTTGAACCACCCAAAAAAAAAAAAAAAAAAAAAGGGTTATCCTTTGTCCCCCTGTTAATACAGACAAATATGGTTAGTAATATTATTAATTTATCTTCTTCAGTGCTATTTTAACTGCAACTGTTCTTAACAAAAGAGAAAAAAAAAAACTATTTTTAAAAATAGCAGAGCAAGAGCTAATTCAGAAACTTGGGCTATTTTTGCAGGATGCAAAATGGGATGAAATCAGGACTAGATGACCTCTAGCAGATCAGCAAATTAAAGCTCTAGAAGCAGTGCAACTACATCTTCCACTAGCTAATAAAGAGTGGCATACCCAGAACCAGGATGCCCAGTTTTTGCAATATCAGTCATTATGCATGAAGAAATTGTAGTGTCAGACAGCCCAGTTGTTATTTCCCAGACACAGGTAAAACAAAATAAATGCAAACTCCCATACATTCATCTTGAGCTTCCTAATCAGCTCTTCCAGCATAAGAAACATCAAATTCATCACCTCTCTTCTAGAGCCTGGTAAAAAAAGTGAGCAAGAAAAATACATTTATGCTCTTTCTTGTTGGAGAGGTTTGAAGGAAAATAAAAACCTGTAAGGATATAGGTCGAGAAGATGGCAGGAACAAACGCACTATATTATTTCTGTAAAATCTAAATCCCAAGAGCATAACCAGGGCTGTAATTTTGATCAGTCCTAGCTAACTTCTGCACTAACTTCTCCCTGGAGAGTTTCACCGTATATCTTCCTGAACACCTTTTATGACTGCACTTCAATAACCATTTTGACAGACTGCTCCACTGTCAAAGCATTCTGTTGGAAAATTTCTCATTAAATCTAATCTCCATGTCCCCTTTTTTAATGTGAGACTATTAGCTGCTTATAAAACATCCTTGTGCAACCTTGAATAAATCTTCCTTGTCTTTTATCATTTTTTTTCATAGAGAATTATCAGATTTCCCCTCTAGTTGCCTTGTAAAACTAAGTTACAATCCCTTACCCCTTCCTCATTTTTCCATTGTCACTACTGAACAGTGTCCACCTTTACAAAAAGCAATAAAGGATTTATTTTACAGAAATATCTGTGTCATGCAACATTTCTCCCACCTTTCAAGGGCTTAACTTAACTAGAAGCAACTGTTCTTGTAAAAATGTTCTTCAGTTTTCAGCGTTATGAAAATTTTATTCAGCTCCAACAAAGATATCTGCTCTACAATGTAATTATTTTTCTTACCTCATTTGTGGCACCTATGCTAAGCAAACACTAACAGACATAATTTGTGCCATTTCTAACTAGTGTGTGAAGACGTGTGTTTTTACAATAGAATAGTCATGCTGTTGCTGAATCCTGAAGGATGGTCTGCACTGCAGTTTTTAGCCTCTCACAGCTGATTAAAAAAAAAGCCAAGGAGCAGGCAGAGGAAGCAGAAATAGGAGAGAATACAGCTGGATGTGAAGCTACAGACGTGTCTGGCAGCACCAGAGGCTGAAGGCAACCCACAGCCCTGCCTCCGCACTGAGTGGCTGCTTTTCTGTCTGTAAAAGCTCCCTACTGTTCTCTCCAGTAAAATTCCACAATGGGCTGGCTAGGGCTGACTCTGAAAATATATACAACCCCAAAACCTGAAAGCTCACCTTTGCTGTGAAGGCAAAATTCATTGCTGACTACAGTAGTGTATTGATGGCATCTCTGCCAATGCCAGATTGAAACACTCAACCCTGTGAACTGAGGAGTTTCTCCTGTGGATACCAGGAGCTTTGTTTCTAGAAAGCCTGAATGCACAGTGGTCAGGAAATTGGATAACTCGCATAGTTACCAAAAAAGAGTTAATTAGGCCATCAGTGACAACATATAGAAAGCATGAAAAGTATGTAAGGAGGATGATACGTGGGATGGAAAAGTACTATAGACACATTGAACTTCCCTTGCCAGAACAGCTGCAGATTGAGGAAAGACAGAGAAAGCCATGGGCCCAGCCATGTGGTAGACAGAGGTTTGTTAGAACAGCAGACGGTGCTGAGCAAGGGGACACACAGAGATGCTCCCTGCTCCATTGCTAGCCAAGCACCCTCCCTCTGAACAACTGGGTGTCCCAGGACCCATCACTGCTCTTCCCAGCCTTAAGACCCTGGGTCTGTATCTTGGCCCACACTCAGGCAGCATCTCTTCTTTGTGGGAGGACAGCCCGCAGCTTGGGGGCCCTGGGGCACTCCCTGCAGCAGGCTGTGCTGGGGCAGGAGGTGACAGCAGAACCCCTGCACTTTGCTGACCCTGGTTAAAGTCTATGCTGTCTTTGCTGTCTGCTGTAAATGATTAACTCTTCCTCTAATTCTTGAGTTAAGAACACTGGATAGATAAGAAACTCCTCTATTACTAAGCTTAAATCTCTCAATCGCAGGCAACCATGTAATGTGATCCTTTTAGCAATCTCATCAAACTCCATTTTAAAAGTTAAATTTCCCTGACATAAAGATACTGCTGCTCACGCACCAAAACGTTAAGAAAATTGAACTGCAGCAGCAATAAATACAACCAGCATTCACCAAAAGAAGGCAAGGCTTCTCTCAGCAAAGTCTGTCATCTGTT